AAAAGTAGTTTAATAAAACTTGAATGTAAGACACTAAAACCTCGCATCATGTGCAGTACAGGATACCCAGAGCGATAGGATTAATGGGTTCTTGTCCCTATTGATTACACTCTTATCCTGTATAAAGCTAGAAATTTAAATCCTTTTGATAATGTTTATGAGAGCCGTGTAACTTCAGACTTTTTTAGCTACAATATACAGGGATACTGAAAAGAACTGTAGATAACCATTGGAGGTTATGCATATACAATGTGCAAACTGTACAATGGACGAAAGTAGCTTTATTCTTCACATGAACATTACCTTGCACTCCAACTTGTCAGAGTCTGTATCAGACTGATGTCTTCAATTCACAGACAAATCTTGAGCACAGATACTTTTTGTAATGTATCTGATTTTTTATGTACAACAGACTTGTACATTCTATTCAGTGTTTGCCATATTCCACATAGGTACACAGTGAAATCAGTAAACATTCCTTCTTTAATACAGAGTCAGTCAAATGGACAGAATTTGTGCACGTTCGATTAAAGAAACAGTACCTGTTTGGTGATTTACATGTTGATTGAGGACTGCAAAAGAACAAATCTTTCTCTTGAGAATTGATGAAGGAAACCTCACATTAAAACTACTTAGCTGTTTGATTGGATTATAACCATTGTTTGTAGTATAGAACTCTGTGTTTATTTTTACTTCATGTATTGATTGTTCAAAGCAGAACAGTATACCAGTATATTTTGATTGCCATTATTTTACTTTTTATCTAGTAATTCATTTTTTTTGCTATTCTTTTTTCGTAGGTGACCATATGGGAGGCACTAAGAGCCCATCGACCTTTGTCCGAAGACAGAGATTTACAGAGGTAATGGGTTTGTTTGTTGAATACAATAGGTAGCACATTTTTCGTATCTTACCCCTATATATATATCTTGAACCCCTGTAAAACCTTTTTTTACTGCCTGACAAATTTATTTGTCAGGAAAAAGCCCTATGTCAAAAACCACATAATTTCTTTTTTAGACAAATCGTGATATAGCAAGTAGATAAATAAAAAGAAAAAATTATGATTTTTTTGGCACATTTAAACAAAGCTATATTAGTTACTTAAGCCTACTAATAAGGGCTGATGATGGTAACTAGCTGGCTTCAGTAACTAATAAAGTTTGTTTCATTGTGCCAGAAACATTGTTTCCATTTTTTTATTTATCTACATCAAAAACCTCACTTTTTTATCATTAAGAATTCATTACTCAGTTGTTGTTGTTGTTTTTCTGAAAGGTCTAATTTCATTGATAAAATTATAAAAACTGAAATATAAAGATGGTACTACAGATCTAACATGCACAGACAGAATTTATAAAACACACAGTGGTGCTTTCAAATGGGGAAAATGTTATTTCTGCAAATTAAACATGTATTATTAATTTATTCTTGACTGTTTTCGTTATTTGCCTGAATGTATATACAGATTTCGCTTTTTAATGAAATTAATGTGTATAGTCAAATCACATTATAAACACTTGGGAATTCCAGTCTGTGCCAGTGAATCATGTAAACATGTCATACACATGTTAAGGAAATGTCATTAATTCACTTACCTGTGTATATAAGTGTGTCTAAGTTTAACTCGCCTAAGAGTTATCTTCATAAATAAAAGTAAACCATGATATTGCTACAGGTATTAGTGTAAAACTAAGGACGTACTGTGACTATATATGTTCAATATTCACATAATTTTGGTTTATAGAGTGTGAAATTTTACATATTTGTATTACGTTGCCTTTATACTTATAAGCATAAGCAGAATACAAATTTGAAATCTTGAGGAACCCTAGATATATATGTTTCAAATTTACTTGCGACATTTAAAGGTAAATGTTAGTCCTTATGTACGATTAGCCTGCCAACCATAGTGTTTATTATTTATCTGTTTAATACAGTTGGCCTGTCGTGGCTGGTGGTTAGGAAGCTTGACTCAATCTGCAGGTGACAGGTTTGAATCCCCATCACCAAACATGCTTGCCCTTTTAGTCATGGAGGTGTTATAATGTGACAGTCAATCCCACTATTCTTTAGTAAAAGAGTAGCCCAAGAGTTGGTAGTGGGTGGTGTTGACTAGCTGCTTTCCCTCTAATTAGGGACGACTAGTACAGATAACCCTCAAGTAGCTTTGTACAAAATTCAAAACAAACCAAACTGTAAAATAGTCAAACATTGGTATCTCGAATTTGAATATATCCAATACATTTATTGTACCTAATAGTCTATGTTTATTAAGGATTAAAACTAAGGCCAAGGTCCTAGATCAGCTTTGTCAATCCCGAGATATCTGGACTAAATTCCCAAAGCCCCTGATGCATTGATTTGTTGTGGTTAGAATTTTTTTTTCATTATTAAATTCAAGAGTTTTTCAGTGCTAATTGTTTTTTCGTAAGATACTTGGCTTCATGACATCATACTTTGTGTCTTATGTTAGAATTTTTTTAAATTGAATATTAACAGAATTATTTGAATGGAAGGTATGCTAAGTAATTTTATTCCCTCTTTGGCAGTTGACACAAACAAAATTTGTAAACGTATATGGGTCGGGCTGTGGACTGAACGGTACTAGGTTCAACATGTGAGCACATTTCACACTTTCCACTGTGTGTGAAATATAAAAGTGACAGTCAGTCCCATTATTTGGTTGAAGGAAGAAGCCAAGCAACCAAGCCCTTGTAGTGGCAGGTGTAGCTGACCGCTTGCTTTTCCCCTGAACGGAGTTCAAAATTAGGAACGGCTATATTCGATTCTTATGGGTCTCTGACCTGGTCATTTAGCTCGGGTTGAAACTTCCATCAGTATTTAATGAGATATTACACGATAAATAGCTGGCTCATGAGTTATTACATGAAGTTATGTCCCCTAGCGAGACAGCAGTAATTTTACAGACTTACAATGCTAAAATCCAGGGTTTGATTCTCCACATTGAACACAGCATAAAGTCCAGTGTGACTTTGCTCTAAAATAAACAAACGAATATGAAGTTAGTGAAAAACCTCAGTAAACTGAACAAACTCTCAGAAGTCTTGATATTGGAGAAACTATTTTCAATACATTTATACGTCCTCTCCAGTATCATGTTATCTTCTGGCAGGGAAACTGGTCTGTCATTAATTTTATTACATTTTTAAGATAGTATAGGGTAGTAAGAAATTGATTTTTTTTTTCATACCTAGGTTAATGATATAATGATAATGCTAGACACAAGCAACATTAAATGTTTTGGCCAGTAAACTTTCTTATTACTCTATTATGAATTAGTACTATAAAATCATTTTTTAGGGAAGGACGAACTGACAGTAGTTGAGTTTGAAGCTAAAAATAGCTTTTATTTCTGATAGGTCTTATTATTGTTATTTTTTAAGGACTCGCTTTTTGTCCACGATACTTGAATACCCTATCTCAGTTTAAGAAAATTATTAAAGTTCACTTTAACTTGCATCTTTCCGATTGAAAATTACCCACATTAATGTAAATATTTTACATCTTTGATAGATTGTTTAGGCAGAGTATTCATAATGACTCTAAGTATTAAATGGACAGCAACTGTCTGTTGTAGAAACCTACAAGGTGGAAGACTTTCGAAACGTCGTCCTCTACATTTGTAGGTTTTTACA